CCCCGCCGAAAAAAAAATGGAATGTGGAAATCAGACAGACAAAGAAAGTACCAAACCGACCAATGGCACCTTGTAGGCAATTTGCCTATCGTCACTCTTTGGGAATCGAAAGAATCTCAGATATGGATTTTTATTTGTGGAATTTATGCGGTTTATAGCAGAACACCATTGACATTTTGTGCTAACTGGAGCCATATGTGAAGGGTGCTGACAAAATGAGTTACTTCTCGGATTTTAGACCTATGGAAATGGATACGTTACACTTATAGGTGAAGATATTACAACTCATAAGTATAAAATAATAAAAGGCTATGGCATCAATAAAAAATCTACAAGTTTGACCCTAGTGTCAATTTTTTGCCAATATCTCCATTTGTGGGTTGTGAGAAGTAACTCATTTTGTCAGCACGCCTCACATATGCTTGTCAGTGATCAATGAAAATGCCTTGAACAATGGATGTAGTTTGTTTTGTTTACAGCGCTTTTCCCCACGATCAGCTAGTGCATCCGGGCCAAGTGACAGCTCTCTTGTATTACTGTAAAACTCTCTGAATATACGGCCCTTGCATAAAACATTTGGCATATGTTCTCCACATAGAAAACATTCTCTGTAAAACTCACAAGTCTGGCTATCAGCAAAAACGAGGCATTCCTGTTAGAGGCCTTTTACACTACAGAGCCAGGGAAATAATTAGTTTCTGAGTTATCATAACCCATGCGACATGGGAATACCTCAAGCCACTGAATCTGCGAAACTGCTACCGTTGCAAGTTGGCAGTTGAATCAAATGAAAATTGGGGACTGATGGTTACTGACGATTGATTTACGGAAGGATTAAAACAATCTACAATAATCTTTCAAACTTGGGATTTTAACATAAGATGTATCAAAGGCAGTACTACCTACTACAAAGATCACAAAGTGATTTTCGAAAATTTTGTGGCAAGTTCTTGGTGCTAAAAGTTGTTCTTGCCATTTCAACCATGGCCCATTCTGTTATTTAAGGTATTATTTTGGGGGTTTTCTTTTTTGAAGGGGGTAGGGAGGAGAATGTTTTGTGGGTTTTTTTTGTGTGTTTTATCCCCTACGAAAATTCTTTTTATTGAGCACACTGAACAACAAAGAAATAACCCAAGTGATAAGGATACCAAATGAATGATATTGTACTTGTATGTACTCAAGCAAACTCTCTCTCTCTCTCTCTCTCTCTCTCTCTCTCTCTCTCTCTCTCTCTCTCTCTCTCTCTCTCTCTCTCTCTCTCTCACTCCCTTTCTCTTTCTCTTTCTCGCTCTCGCTCTCACACTCTCTCTCTCTTTCTCTCTCTTTCTCTTTCTCACTCTCACACTCTCTCTCTCTCTGTCTCTCTCTCTTTCTATCTGTCTGTCTGTTTGTCTCTCTCTCTTTCTCTCTCTAGCTATTTCTCTCCTCCTATATAACCTTCTTTCAATCTCTCTTTTTCAGCCCCTTCCCCTTTTTCACTCACTCTCATTATTTCATTCCCTCTCTTTCTCATAATAAAAGCTGTCATGTTTAATTGAACTATCTTCACAGAAACAATAGGCCATGCCCAACGGAAGGTCTTGTGGCAGGTGTAATTCGCTCTCTCTGGCCTGCAATCAACACAAGTTCATTCTTGTGTCTTTTTTTCTGTGTCCTTATCTTGAAGGCCTTAAGTCTTGTTGATTTGCATTACTTGAGGGTAGCTTTAGACAATGTAATCCGCAAAATACTTTTTGGTTTAGAAATAATAGCAATAGATTTCTTACTGAGACAAAGTTTTAAAAAATTGGGAATTCCACTTAAGTTTGGATTATCACCATTTTCAGATTAACCATTTTCACTTTAAGTGCTCTTTATTGAATATGTGTGAAGTTGAAGGAATGCATTGGAGCAGCAGTATGTTAAAGTATGATTTTGAAAAACAAAGAAAGGTGTTGAGGTTATCTCAGAGATCCTTGAGATTTGGTTCTACTTGTAAGTTGGACTTAGAAAAAAATGAATAATTAAATTTCTATCGACTGCAATGAACTCAGCCTTTGGAACACTGAAATAAAGTTGTCATACCAGCTATTAGCTGAAATAAGAAATAAACATAACAAACGGAAATAAGACAAAGAATGTCAAATTGTACTTGATAGAAACTTTACAGCATTAAGTATATATATATATTTGGTTTTGACTCCCTCATTTATTATTTTTTCACAGGTGATTTATGCGCTGAACACAAAAAATGATGAAAATGAAACAGTTCTTCAAGCTTTGCGGGAACAACATGAAGAGGAAATCCAGCAGATCCTCGCTGATACAAAACAGAAGGTGGCTGTTTACAAAGATCGTTTGGATGAAGAGTCAGATCACCAGGCCACAATTGAAGCTTTGCAAACTCGCATTGCAGAACATCAGTCACAACAGGCTGCGATTGAGGAGCAATTTTCCCAGTATAAAATTAACATTAGAGAAAAACAAGAAAAAGAGAGGGAAGACTATGCTGCTAAACTTTTTGATATGTCGCATGAGGTGTTAAAGGCAAAAAAGGACTTTGAAGATCACATAGATAAATTCAACTCATGGAAAGAAAGAATAAATGCTCAGCATTCAACTGCTGTTGCAGAACTTGGAAGCAAGCACCAAAGGGAAATGGAAGATCTGCGTTCCTTTCAGAGAAATCAAGATGACACATGGTTAAATCAATGTGCTCAAATTGAAGAAAAATTCAAAGACCAGATTGAAAGCTTGAAATCTCAGATTGAAGCTATGGAAGCAGAGAAAGTAAGTCTTAATGAAGAGTACACTGCTAAATTGGAGAAAGCAAAAGCTTTTTACGAAAAAGAGCTGGAGGCCTTGAGACTTAACCAAACACAGGAACACAGTGTTGAAGTGGAAGGGTTGAAGAAGGAAATTGACAGACTGAAGGGTGATTTTGGCGCAAATGATAAGGAGCTGAGAGTACAAATTGACAGACTGGTTCGGCAGCTGGCTGATACTGAAGATAGTCTGGAGGCTTCTAGAAAAGAACAACAGATCCTCCAAGCTGAACTAGCAGGGAGAAATTCCAGTTCTAGTGAACTTGCTAAACAGGTTAGTGTTGTTTGAAAACTTTGTAGTGAGAATTTAGTTGTGCTCCAGCTTCCTTCCTGAAATCTTACTTAGGGCCCCTTTCTCAGTAGTTTTTTTTTGGTTTGTTTTAGCATGCACTTATATCACTTGGTTTGTATCCTGTTTCACATGGATTATCTGCTCAATGAATGTTTATGGACTGATGTTTGGAGATTATTGACCAATGTATCTTTTTTGTTTGACATACCCATTAAAGACATGCATTTTTAGATCATATTCTTTGAAAAATCTGTTCAGTTTGTGAGTTTCAGGCCTCATGAGCTCATAGTTTCTTTCTAAGGTCACCACTTAGGTATATACGCTACTGGTCAACCTATTGATAGTAAATATCCAACAAAGATAATCAGTGAGGTATACCGTGGATACTGAATATACTGTCTCCCTAGCTATTTAAATATTTAGTTTCTATCACTAGCAAGATGTTGTTCTTCTATGAGCTGTAAAAGTAAAAGTGTTTTTTAACATAACTTATTGGTTGGCGTAAAATCCAATATTAGCCTGCTTTTTAAAGGTTTCATTTCTTTTACCATTAGAATAACCACCCTATCTTTTAGTAAGCCGACATTTTAATTGTAAAATCTTTTTAAAGAGCAACATCTGCACAAGATTATTATCTAGTCTGAGAAAATGACAGAATGTGAATTACGTCCAGCAACTCTCAAGTTGGCAGGATCAAAAAAGGAAACTTTCTATATTGATTTTTTCTTGATCTCATGTTTATGTGGCTTAAACCCAGTGCAAATTACATAACGCTTTAATCAAATCTCTATTTAATGCATTTGATACATTTGAGAGCTGCCAAGTTTATTTTCATGGAGGTGCAAAAGCTACTGTTTTGACACAATTTGATCAAATTCCCTTAGCCAACCATGTTTGCTTTTCTTTGTCACCATTTGATACACTTATATAAACATATATTATGTAAACATGTGATACGAAATGAACCATTCAGATGGCTACTATTGCCGGGTAAGGTCTTCTGTTTTCACACATCAAATATTATGATAATTTAAGCAGAGGCCAATGGGACATATTGTGCCCTGGCACAACCATTCATGAACACAACCCAGTCCAAACTGATCTTGCAGGTGGGGTTCATTTGACCCATTAGCATCTGCTATTAGCCGCAAAGACTTTCAAATTTCACTGACTAAAGGATATGTCTTTAAAATTGAAAAGCCATTTTAATCAACAAGGGTTCTTGTAAAGAAAAGGGAACTAAAATGTAACAGGGCCCCTCCATAATACATTCCCACACAATATAATACATCTCCTTTTTTCCCTAGAACATACACATACTGCTTGCTTCATGGGCATACTGTTGTATGTGATTTGCTTCTTTTGAGAGATGGTGACTGTGAAAGATCAAAATAGCTGTGAGAGAAAAAAAGTGAGATTACTTCTGTTTCTGACGTCCATTCGAATTTTTGGTAAATGAAAAGTTTTCAATTACAGGAAGTTAAGATGTGCTGATGGGGCATTTAAGACATGTACATATAGATTTTAAATTTAGGAACCGAAGAACAGCTTCAATACTTTTTATATGTTTTTCTTTTGTAGTTGGAAGACTTGAGGGAACAGCTTGCATCTCAGTCGTCTAAACTGCACAGCACAGAAACTGAGCTGGCAGGATCCAAGCAACATGTTGCAGATCTGGCTGATGAATTGAGTAAAAAATCGAGTAAGTGATACAATAATTATTGTCTGTGCACGCACACACTCTTGCACACACAGATGTCTGTCTGTCTCTCTCTCTCTCTCTCTCTCTCTCTCTCTCTCTCTCTCTCTCTCTCTCTCTCGCTCTCTCTCAAACACAGACACACACACACACACACACAAACACACACAAACACACACATGCACACACACACATGCACACACACATGCCCACACATATATCATCACAGTCATAACACAACTGTCTCTTAAGTCATTTTTTGTTGCACTGATAAAACATTTTAAAAATATAAGTGCTGGCAAAAGTCCACCTGCTTCATGAGTAGGCAAAAGTGGAAATGACTAAATGATTTGAGTTTTAGTCCCTGAAACAAGACCCAGTCACTATAAGATAAATGACAGGCATTGTCACCATTGTGTATACACATTTATTTTCATATACATATTATTTGTTCATATATACTCAGGGAAAGAAAGAAAGTGTCGCATAGAATCAAATATTGTACTTGCAAACCAATTTTCCAGAGATGCGCTGAACTTTAACAAACATAAATGTTGCTCTTTTGATGTACTTCATGTCAATGCAAAAAAATAGGACCAAGGTTGTGTGTTGACTTCTAAAGTATAAAACAGAAATGGAGTCTACTTTCCCTTTCCCTTTCTGCTGTAGCCCTGCTCGGTGAACTGGAAGCTCACAACATGCAGAAGGAGAGCATCATTTCATCTCTTCGGGATGAACTGGAGAAGCTGAGGCAGCAGCTGACACGTGTTGATGCGGAGAGAACATCCCTTCTCTCACAACAACAGAGCTCTTCCTCAGAACAGAAGTCACAGTTGCAGAGCCTGAGACAGGTAAGCTTGTCATAACGTTGAAATAAAGCTGAATTTTTTGGTTGTGTTTAGCTTTTGTAGTATTGTGGAAAAAGCTGAACTTTTTGTAGTATTGAAATTTTGTAGTATTAAGAATTTGTTGAACTTTTTGTGTATAGAGAAAAAGCTGAACTTTGTTGTAGTATTGAAATTTTATAGTAGGCCTATTAAGAATTAGCTGTACTTTTTGTAGTATTGAGAAAAAGCTGAACATTTTTCTAAGCCTAGTATTGAGAAAAGGCTGAAGTTTTTTGTAGTATTGAGAAAAGCTTAACTTTTGGTAGCTCTGAGAATAAAATTTGTGTTTTCCTTTGTCTGTTCTTATACTGGTGCTTCAACAAAAGTGTTCCAGTTCCTGTTTCAAGTGGGCTTGACTGTTACAAAATTAGATACAGATACTTTTCTGTTTTAAGAATGATTGAAGGGATAAATATGAAACCAGCTTTCTTGTTATATGTAACCTTCACGGATGAATTGGTCAGTCATTGTTAGAGAGGTTTTGCCTGTCGAATCAGAAAAAAAGAGGATCAATATATGGGCACAATAAGAACTTTGCATTTGCATAATTATTATACCACAAACAGTAATTACATAAATGTGTCTGGCATTAGAATATGTGTTTCAATTTAGTGTGTGTGGAGGTCATATTATTTTTATTAGTCATCATCTAATGATATACCCATGTAAAAACTTAGGGAGTGTGTGTGGCGCAATCAGTAAAACAAACTAAACTTGTATTGCTACCTTTACATCTTTGGAGGAACTACCTTGTTATTTCTCTCATAGGCCCTTGAGGACATGACTGTTGAGAAAGAAACACAGAAGCAAAGGTTTGAGAAACAAATAAAAAGTTTGCAAGATGAACTTGAGAAGACAGAAAAGTCTTTGAAGGAGGAAATGGCTCTGAAGCTCAGTGAAATGGAAAAGAGCCATGTTGAAGCAAGAGAGAGTGATCGGAAGTGTGCAGCAGAAGTTCTAACGGCAACTAAGCAGGTATGTGTGGTTAGGCGTATAGTTGTATGGACATTTATTCTACCAGTTTGGTATGTGTGTATTAATGTAGAAAGTCTATACGTTCAGAGCTCACTCATCAAAAGGAAATTTGTTTAAATGAACATTTACCTCAATGTTGATTAGTACGCTGTTTCAAATGATTGTTCCAGAATTACGATCTACTTATGAAAGAAATTTTGTTCGTAGTGAAAGGTATTGTAGTATCAAAACTTTTGTTGAAAGTAATAACAACTGATGTGCATAATGAGTGCCTAAGATACTTCTGAGATTATTATTTTTAAAAGAAAAAAAAGAAGGCTGTCCCCATGTTTTCTGTATTATTATAACATTTAGTTCTAAATTCTTCTGAAAACTACAGGGTGATCCAAAAAAACTTTACAACTTGTTTTTAAATAACTTCCTCCATACTGAAGTGTTGCGTTTCAGATTTGAACATAACATTTGGAAGCCAAAAGGAATTTGTCTGATATGTATTTAGATAAGTCTATTGAATGATTTTGCTCTATACAGGGCATTAAAAAAACAACCCATTTTCAACCTTGTCGCCATTTTCATAGCATGACGCACCAGTTCAGTTGCAACAATCGCGCCATATTGCAAGCTACTGCAGTCTAGCAAGTCAACAGAAGTCTGCAGACATTATTTTTCAGATCATGGTTACGTTTAGTAAAGAGCAGAGAGCTTTTTGTATTGAACTTTACCTCTCCACAAACTCACCATCCCTGACATTCCATAAGTTTTGCGCACGGCATGGAGAGAATGCTTAGGTGCCCTCAAGACCTATGGCGTCATGAGTAGAGAAGTTCCGTCAGTTTGGATCTACCGCGAATCAGAACTAAAAAGTTCTTTAAAACATGACCACTTGAGGTTGAACACGTACCATGCGCAGCCCTTTAAACGTCACCAGAGTGCAGATTTCAGTAGCCGAGTCCCATGAGACGTCTGTCCTTGGATGATCTGCAGCAAGGACTTTCCTACACATCAACAGTCTGCAATCTCATGGCAGATCTTAACCTAAGACTATACCATGTTCATCTTCGCTAGGCCGAGATGACATGGATCAGAGCATGGCAATGTGTTCATGATTCCTCGATTGTCTTGTAAAGAGGGATCATTTCCTCGCTGACATTTGGTTTAGTGCAAAGCTCATTTTCACCCTGCGGGATATGTTAACTCCAAAAATGCTGTCTATTGGGCACCCACTCTATTGTCTCTAGAAGCCACTTCTTAGTGAACGTGTACTGTGTATGTGGCTTTAAAAACTCATGGTTTAGCAGGTCCTTGAGTTAGTGCACCACTGAACATTTCGAACGACGCGTTAAAAATGTGTCGAGTCCAAAGGAGGGAACGTGGAGCACTGCTTCTAGGAATTTCAGAATGAAATCATTAGGTTTTTTAAACTCTGTAAAATAATTTAAATATTGTTTAAATGTCACAGGGATGGAAAATTAATGTCAAAGAGAAAATAAATAAAAACGTCAACTAATCTTTTCACGATTTCCTTTACAATATTTTTAAACATTGGTGAACTTTCCGTTTTTGGGGTGCTTTTTTATTTTAGCCGTTTCCGTTTTCAAAACATGTTTCTTCTTCGTGGACTTTATATCAAAGACATTCCTTTTGAATGAATTATGTCTGTTCCAAATTACAGCATTCTAGAACAATTTTTGTGCGAGATATTCAGAAAAAAAGGTGTAAAGATTTTTTTGGATCACCCTGTACATTGTCCAGTATGAGGTCTTGGTCATGAAATGGAACTGAGCATCATGCGACAATGCTTTTTTTTTTTTACCAACAATGTTTCTTACTTTATGATGAAAGGTTAAGAATGTAAATTCTGTAGATTTGAAATGAAATTTTTTTGGATTAAAGCTTTTGTGTTTTTTATCATTTTTCTCAACATTGTCAAGGGATACTGTGGCATCTGATCTATTTTGTTTCTGATTTTCAGGAACTGAAAGAAAATCATGAAAAGGAAATGAGTCAGGCAAAGTCTGACTATGAAGCCTTGCAGCAAGAATTTGAACAAGTGAAAGCTGACTTGAAATCCAGACTTGCTGCTGCTGAAGAAGAGGTAGGCACAAAATAATGTTTTTGTCCATGAACGTGCATGATATAAATGGTTTCATGCCATTTCTATGTGTGTTATGTTAAAACATATAATTTAAAGCTTGACCCATTTGCAAATACATGTTCACTGTCGTTTGTGGTATAGAAATGAGACTCTGTGCACTGCAAGTAGGTGATGTTAGTTTGCTTCCTGAGGTACGACGTTTTGAATAGAGTATCTCCTTCTGTCCTTTTTTAAATGTATTTTTTACTCGGGTTGGCATTCACAGGCTGAGTCAAAGTATCCACTAACTTGTGTAAATTGTGTTGATGGGCATAAAACGTTACAATTACAATATAGATACAAGGTCACTTTCTGTGCACATGAGATAATCCAAAAGCCTCAACTTTGCTTTGCCAGCGTTTCCAGTGTAAATGGGTAGCATGCTGCACCAAGGTATTGACAGAGATGTAGCAACCTGTGACAACTTTTGTTAGACAATAAGGGGACTGGGTTGCATACAAGGGAATAATTAAACTTATACTCATGTGATTTTGTCTTTCATTATTTTTGTGGTCATTGGATGTTCAGTGCTCAGCTAAACTATTTTGTTGAAAAAATAAATAGATTATGGCAAATCACCATCTCAGTCTGTTTTGTGAAAGTAGGGCTAATTTCTAACCAACTTTCAGTGAGTTTCACTAACTTTCAATACTCTTTGCTAAAGTGCCTGTGTCAAGCGTAAATTTTACCTGTTTTCAAGTAAAGAACAGAGCTTTAAGATATCTTCATACTCTAAGTAATGTATGCATAAGTCTTATGAAGAGACTTTAAAAAAATTGCCCTCTTTGATATTCAAATGTCAATGTTTTGTTTTCTTTCAGCTGAGAAGAATGGAACAAATGATTAAGCAGAGCGAGGAAGGGTTAGGGTCAGCATCAGGTCAGCTGAAGAGCATGAAAGAAGCAGCTGAACATTTGCGAACAGAATTAGAGAAGACGCGATCAGAACTCAAGTTTTCCAAGACAACAGCAGCTAGCTTACAGGTAGGGTTGGTTTCTTTTGTTTGGTTTCATCATCTTTATCACTGCCTTTCTCACCCTGCCTCAGGGTATAGGTCTTGAACAAACACTTTTCTCCTCTCCCTATCCTGGGCTAGCCTCTTGATCTTTTTCCATGTCTTTCCGCTCTTGTGTAAATTATTCTCAGTGAATCTTCTCCAGGTTCCATGTGGCTTTCCCCTTGATCTCTTACTTTGTAAAATTCAGTTTGTTCAGTTTTCGTGTTTAGAATTGAGATGGACGTGGTTAATGTAGGGGAAACCTTCATAAAAAACAATAAGTCATACACGGCAGTCTGGAAAGACTACAGCTTTATGGGTTTAACAGAACAAAAGAAAAAAAAAAGAGAAACTTTGCCATTTTTTTGCAAATACTTTGTTGAAAGATCTGTTTTAGTTTCACATTTTGTAAACATTTTAAGTGGGTGGTTGGCAGGTGCTCTAGTGTGATTTGCTCTTTCTTGTCTATCAAATATCAGTCGTCCTTTTATGTCCCCCTTTTTTGCATTTGTTACTTTCTTGATGAAACATCGCTAATCTTCAGCACTTATAATTATTATCTAATTGTGTTGCAAGTACTGTAAAACACTTATGAAAACAAACTTTTGAAGCTGTGCAAATAACATTAGATCTATACAGAAAAATATCTGGAATGGTAATTTCAAGTATTAGACGTTTAATTTTCATTGGCCGTAGGTTGTTGATATTACAGAAATTTATTTTGTTGTATCTGTCGATTTTTCTTATTGCCTTTCTCAATGAGGAAGGAACTCTTTAGTAACTGTACAACTCAAAGACACTAATTGTATCATCTTCAGTCGCCTGATGAAATTGTCAATTCCACACTACGCATATTATACAAGAGAGGGAAAAAAACTGATTTTCTCCATCATATTGGCATTCAAGACATAAACTTAATGGATAAATATAGACTATTACCTTTTAGAAATAATAATCTAGTACATTTTTTATTGCAGATGGCCATTCTTTCGAAAAAGTGTGGGAATCACAATTTTCATATTCGAATCTCGCCTGATGCAGTCGTGAATTCCTGTGGAATTCATGATTTCATCAGAAGGCTTTATGAAAGGCAGTGTTGTATTCACGGTTATTAGGCAGTGTGTTTTCTCTTATTAGAGGCCATAGTATGTTTTAAAATATTTGAAAGGACGAAATACTGTTATACAAAAGATTTTAAAAGACCAATTTAAAACTGAGTATGAAATTTCAGACTAAGTGAAACAGAAAGCCATGAATTATTTTACCACTTTTAACATCTATCGTTCTTAAATGAAAGCGATTTTATTGTATGTAATTTATGAGATCATACTCCTTCATTTGTGTGCTCTCTCTCTCTTTCTATCCTTCTTTCTCTAATTGTGTGTAAGTGTGCGGTGGTTTGAGAACTTGATTTGTTTCAAACCTCTATACCCCTTGAAAGACTGAATGATCATATTTCATTATCTTACTCTTTTTGTCTCTCAGATCCTGAAAATTACTCTTTGCGACTTTTAAAGGAGAATGATACAGTGTTGGGGAACTTTACTGTTTGCTAAGTTCTCCGTGTCTCTGGACTTTAGAAAATCTCCCACTCTTCGTTAGAGTTCATTTTACTATGAATTTCTCCTTATGTATGTCAGAGAGGCTTCATATTGCATTAACAGTTTGGTCTTCTTTGTCTACCCCGCCTGACAATTTTGTGGACTGCAATTTTGGCAAAATCGTGGAGAAAATATAATCCACAAATTTCACATTATAGGGTCTTCGTTGCTATACTTATAAAAATTGTAGTTATGAAAATGGCAACATAATGTAGTGGGCTGTATATTAGTGTGTTTTATTTAAATCTGCCCCTTAATGACGCCGTGCATACTATCAATGACATCAACTTGCATATGAGTGTGGCCTCTAATAAGATTTTGTATTCAATTTCGATGTTTGATTTAGTGGAAAAGGCATTCGCGGCATTAGAAATAGTTGCAATTTTGTGGTGATACACACGCACACACAAATACACGCAAACACACACACACACACACACACACACACACACACACACACACACACACACACACACACACATACTCACACACAGACACACACACGCACACACACACACACACACACATAGTTGTATATTGTATTAATATAACCTTCTCTGCATTTGTGCTCGTTAAAAAAAGTCCATCAAACAACTTGTGAATTCATTTGCAATCAAAACTTTGTGCCTTGTGTCATAGCTAATAGATGGCAGCATACGAGGTCGAATTGAAAATAATGTGCATGCTTTTGGATCAAAAGCTGGAGGAATTGATAGACAGTGCCAAAAGTACACGCTGAAGATTCATGCAAACCACCACAAGGCCTTCTTGCCTAAGAGCAAAGGTTTTATCAATGGCGTGCCCTTTCTTTTTCATTTTCTTTACTGACCAGTGAGATTCCCACTTAGTCTGACTGACGTTGTCAAGACTCAAAACTCACACGCAGTTCACATTGATCGAGATGTTCTTTCCATCTAGCACATATTTGAGTAGTCTGGCACACAAGGCAGATTGTCCCTGACCTGTGCAGCCTGTTTCGTAAAACTGATGAAGCTCCGACAGATTACAGAATCAGAGGTCAAGATACAGTTTTCTGGAGCTTTGCTGGCAATAGTGGGAGCGAGCCTTCGGAAGCATGTCCACAGACGTGAACAGAAACTCCTTGGCTTGCACGCCCCTTGTGGATTGTTTGGTGGTGCTGCTGGCTTGGGCTCTACTAAAGCACTCTTTACAAAGCATTGGAGGATGCTGGTTGTCATCAACAGGTGCCTGAGGAAGTTCCTCGGGATCAGATGAACAGACAAGAGTCATCGATGAGGATGTATTAATTAGAAAATTTTAAGACAGAAGAAAGCAGCGGAGATGGATTGGACTGAGCATACCATCTGGAGATCAGGCAGCTACATAACAAAGAAAGTTTTAACTTGGAGTCTACAGGTCAAACGGTTAAGGGAAGGGGATGTGGAACTTGTAGAAAAGTTGATGAACAAAAAAGGGGAAAGTCATTTGAAAAATATGAAGAAGTGAGCCCAGAGTCGGGAATAATGGAAAGTGTTGTCCGTATGGGGTGTGCCAGGCGGTGATGCAATTGACATGGGCTCTCCTAGAGCAATTTGCAATGGATGAGCCCGGTTATAGATATCAGCATCCTGCAAACTTTGATATTCTGGTCACTCTGTTTCATATAATAAACCCGAGTGTGCGTCTTTCAGCTCCGCGAGTCATAAACCGGCTCATGAGATCGTGAATTCCACACCGTTTCATCAGGCGACTTTTGGGGAACGGTGTTTATTTACGGTTTTCTTATTACGTCAGATTACACGTTTGAGTAGAGATATTTGAAAAATAGTTTTACAGGGACATGTATATCACCAAGCACAATCATAGTATGCAAAAAACCAAAAAAACCCCAAAACAAACAAAACAATTTTCGAACTTTTTTGGAATTCACGGTTTTGTCAGTCGACCGCCGTCATGCTATATGGTGCTCCCTAATGTGGCTTTGCATTTTCAATGGGAGAGAACACACTTCGTGCAACGAACAGGTGAAATGTATCGAATACTTCCCTTGGCTTAGGGATTTACGGGATGAGTCTTGTGACTTTGGAGTGGATTACTCTGTGTGTGTGTGTGTGTGTGTGTGTGTGTGTGTGTGTGTGTGTGTGTGTGTGTGTGTGTGTGTGTGTGCATGCGCGCGCGTGTGAATGAGTGACTATGTGTGTGTGTGTATGTGTGTGTGTGTGCGTGCGTGCGCGCTCACCCATGTGAATGAGTGACTCTTTTTGTGTATGTGTGTGTGTGTGTGTGTGTGTGTGTGTGAGTGTGTGTGTGTGTGTGTGTTTATAAGTATTCAGTGTATTTACAATGTATCTTTATGTGTAGCTGTGCCTGAATAATAATACATTAATTAATTGCACGTGTGGGAACAAGGAAAATAACTGTATCGTGAGGGGAGCCAGTATTGGTGACAATGACTGACAATTTAAAAATTGAAATATCATGTTTCCATTTTTAAAAAGAAACAAAAAAATAACTGTTGAGGTCTTACTGGTTAAAAAAATTGGAGCCTTAACCTTTCAGGATAATTTGTCACTTGTTCTCATCTGAAAGTTTCCGAACAGGGAGGTGCCGTTAAATAGTGTTGAACACATTTGAAAAATCTATCGGTAAATTTTAAGGGAACATCCACAGGTGTCTGTTGTGTAGCAAGTAAAAGGCGCTTCACTGTCACATGCAGAAGACCTGAGTGCGATTCCCATGTAGGGAAAGTTTTTATCAAGTATGTCTGTATCTCTGCTGGGGCACTGCATCTTTCTTTGCCTTGATTGGCCCTGGCAGGCACAGTCGGAGCCCGCCTCCTGAATGTAACTTATCTAAATTGTGTCGATGGGGTGTAGAAACATCTACATTGAAAAAGGAGACTACTATATGTTCATAAAAATTATCATTGGAATCACCCCAACAACATTCACTTCCCTATTAACCCTAAAATGAATTGATAAGCGTCTTGGTATGTTCCACGACATGCAGGCAAAGATGAACTTAGAGCGATTGTTCTAAAAGTTAATTAAAGTTGACGTTAGCGCTCCTGGCCGCCAATCCTTCTATCTCTTTTATAAAAAGTATACTTTTTAACAGTTCCCTCGTTGCATGTATTAAATGAGTTTTTGATACTTGAAAATACTACAGATAATTCACGCGCGTATCTTTCATAAAGAAGTGATGTAATGTCTTCAGACCTCCACGTTCTCTTAGGGTTTAGAGACTCGAAAAGTCTCCTGGTTTCATTGTGATTTGTTTTATTTTTCACTCCGTTGTCATCAAAAGATGGTGATTTTTCTATATTTGAAATTTCGGGGCTAAAATCAATACTATCCAATCGTGAGATCAGTAAAATTATTCAAATCGTCGATAAAAATGTGTTTGTTCCCCCTGTTTCAATGATTTACAATTCATCTCTGCAACATAGCTCTTCTTTGTCTCAATTCCCCCCTATCTTACTATCATTTTATGTAAACCGTTCTTCAATTTTTCACGCGTTTTGGCTTCAGTTTTTTCCCCAGTCGTTATTGTGTCCTGCTTGTCTTCTCCTCATTTTTCTCGCAACATTTCCCGTTTCTTCTCATTTCACTATGGTCTTTACTCTAAAGCGACGCATGGATTCTAGTTACTAATTTAAAATACATGGTGGTATTCTTTCAAGCAGTACTTCCTTTGCCAAATGTTGTCATGTGCTCTTCTTCGTTTCACGGTGCAGTTGGCTGAATGATCAAACACGAACAAACTCACTGGTTTGTATAAGCAAAACTGTAGATCAATAATTGTCTGACGCACTTCCATTCCATATAAGAAAGTGTTTTTTTAAAAATCTCTCACCCTACATAACACTTGAACCCTGGGACTGGTTAAGCCTAAAAATCTCCCAAGTGGTTTCTATTGTACTAGATCTATTATGTCTTACTTTAAAAAGAAAAAAAAAAACGTACTTGTATTAATTACGGATTGTTTTTTATTTGTAAGACAGAAATCGTGGTAAGGTAATTGTCTGGCGGGCTTATTCTTAACTTAAGAGTGATTTCATTCACAAAAACCAAAACCAAAAATACAAAAACAAAAAACAAAACAAACAAAAAATCAACCGTTCTGTGCTAGACTGCAGATGGCTTGTGTGCTCCGCTGAACGAATTTAATTTGTACAAATTGTTGTACTTTCCAGTTTACGGTCATCCGCGGCCAAAAATTCCATCAGACCATTTTTGTGCACAGATTAAAGAAATTTAAACATATGGACGTTTTAAAAGTCTAAACAAAATTAACTGTTTATGTGTTGGTACCAAGGTTATTACTTGTATTGTACATGTAAAGTGGTCTGGGCCTGTGCTTTTTAATCGTTCTTGAACGTAACACCATTTATAGATGTCCTACATTATTATTATCATTTGAATATTTAGATTGCTATTTTAACAATATTCTCGCCCCGCTGATGCTATTTTCACCAAACGCACGCCTTAGCTTAATAAGTACCACACTGTGTGTGAATGAAATGGTGGGGACTTCAGATTATTTTGATAACAGTTTTGCCGTCATAAAGACAATTGTGTTGAAGAAACAACGATGAGCTGACATAACTTTTTCAGATAGATTGAAAGGAATGTCAACTGTGTGTGTTTGTGTGTGTGCGTGCGTGTGTGTGTGTGTTTTTGTGTGTGTGTGTGTGTGTGCGTGCGCACACGTGTGTATGTGAGTGTGTGTGTGTGTGTGCGTGCGTGCGCGCACGTGTGTGTGTGTGTGTGTGTGTGTGTGTGTGTGTGTGTGTGTGTGTGAGAGAGAGAGAGATTGCGTTTATGTTCGTATGTTTGTGTACTCATTTATTGTGCCCTCGCATGAGAACGTATAAATGTATGACGTGTTTGTGTGTGTGTGTGTGTGTGTGTATGTGTGTGTGTGTGTGTGTGTGTGTGTGTGTGTATGTGCGCACGTGTGTATTTGTGTGTGTGTATATGCGCACGTGTGTGTTTGTGTGTATGTGTGTGTGTGTGTGTGTTTGTGTTATTGTGAATATACTCCTGTGTATGTGAACGTGCTTTTGTTTTTGACTGTACATTTGTATTTGTGTCCCAGTGACCATCAGTTGTGTTTAAAAGCACGCTTCGTTTCTTTATAATATTATTTTTATTTTATGCGTCTTCTTTCCTTCCTTGCACTATCGTTTTTCTGTGGGAGAAAGAGCTGGTCGGGGTTCATTTTGCGTTGACTTTGTGCAGTTGTCCCCCGAGGGTGTTTTAACCCTATCCGTACGTCGTGTTTTACTATCGTACCCATACGGCGTGGGGAACTGTGTGCCGCCACTTTCCAAAGAGGAAATATACTCGTTAATCCGATCCGTACGCTTTGCATAGCAGTTTGTCAAAATGATTTTTTGAGAAACACTGAGTTTCAAAGAGATCTTCGCACTAGAAGTATTCTAAAATGTGAAGAATACAACGCCGGGGGTACAAAATGACCCCAGGCGTACGGATAGGGTTAAGATAGTTAATCTGTGTGCTCTGTCACTTCGTAAGTTACCTGCCTCTCTGGTGTAGAGGTTAGGCTGTTTACTGTCGCACGCAGAAGATAATAATATGTGTTCAATTACTCCATCGGGGAAGTTTTCTTTATCGGCATCTCTTTGTTCTAGTAAGAGTTTTTAAGGGACTTGCTACACAAGCAGGTCTTATATTATAAGAGTAGAGGCGTCACAAGGGATTAACAAACACTAGAAAGAAGGAGGAGAGAAGAGGACGATAGGTGCTTGACAGGAAAGAAGGAGCAAACTACAGCAGAGCACCCTCAACCACGCACATCGACATCTCTGTCCGTATGCCAAAAAATGCTGGCTTGCTGTATCCCCACTTGTGAGCCCTTTTTGGCTTTTTCGGACTCGTTTGAGGCAGCTAGTATCTTACAAGGTCTACATTGTGCTAATTTGAGGATAAGATATTTTTAGTCATCTCCTAAATTCAATAATAACTTGTTTAATTGTATTCATAATTATAATTACGAGTATTATAATAGATGTATATTGGTTGACCATGCTTTATTAAACAGAAGAGTTTTGGTTTTGGTCAATTTAGCTTTTTTGTAATAAAATAAAAGAGAAACAGCAGTTTTCCTGTGCAATGAATGTTCCAATTTCCATGCTGGGGGTTGAATGGTGCGGACAGAGATGTCGATGTGCGTGGTTGAGAGTGCTCTGCTGTAGTTTGCTCCTTTTGTCCTGTCAAGCATCTATAGTCCTCTTCTCTCCTCTTTCTTTCAACGCCTCTACTCTTATAAGACCTACTTGTGTAGCAAGTCCCTTAAAAACTCTTACTAGAACAAAGAGATGCCGATAAAGAAAACTTCCCCGATGGAGTAATTGAACACATATTATTATCTTCTACGTGGGACAGTAAACAGCCTAACTTCTACACCAGAGAGGCACTAGAGAATGCACTAGTGAGGTTGCTCCTTCTTCGCCACCAACATCTATCTGCCTTATATCTCCTCCTCCTCCCTTTCTTTATATTTCACTGTCTAGTAACACCTCTAATCTTCGGCACTTGTGTGACCTATCTGTGTCGCAAGTGCCGTAAAACTCTTACTAAAATGTATATCAACTGGGGATGTGAAAGACTTTAAAGTACAAACTCCCTAGACCCAGGCTTTTCGGTCGAATGGACTCAAACACCCGCCATAAACTAGGGTCGGTGAGTTTGAGGTGCTACACCCGATCCTATGTTGTATAGGGAAGCGCTCTTCATAAAATTATGGCCGTGTCATGAGCAGTTTCTCTGAACGATTAATCTGAAAACTTTCGGTCCGATAAGACCCTTATTTTTACCTGCTTTCGTTTTCGATGGACAGCTGTGGCTATTGCCAACGTCAGGAGACGTGATTTCAAGTTTGGAATAGGTTTTTACCCTTTTATTACTTCTGAGAGTTCAAATTCACACTACGAAGAAAGAATAAACTGTGAATCTGCCAACACTACCAATAACAGTGATCTTTTTCAATTACTGAATCTAAAGGAACAACACGAAACGCAGAAAAAAGGAGCTACCAAAACTGCCAATAGTACTCATCATCTGCATAAAGCACCAGACCTGAAACATACGTCTGCGGTCATGGTTTGTCATTTATTTTGTTGCGCGGATGTTCTCAAAAATATCTATATAATAATTAACGTGATCTTTCCCCTTCATCCATGTGTTAAGGGTTTTATGTAAGTTGCTCTGGTTCTACCTCTGCCTTGTTTGCTTTCTATCTTTTCCAGTGAGAGAGCACGATGTTCAAGGCCTTTATGTCGATTCAATTAGTAGCCTACAAATTGCATCTTTTTGTTTTTATCGGTGAGCGGCCGACATGGGCTTTTTCAGTACTACCCCAGTTCATTTCTTTTCAATCGATTACATTTTCAACAGTTGCCTAGGAAATCGTATCTCTGTTGCCTCAATTTTATTTGTACTGTCTATCAGTAAAAACAGAGGAAATATATTATTGTTGGATCTAAAGGAACAACAAAAGCCCAGGAACAGCGAATCTACTTAAAGTACCAATAACAGCTGTAAGTTTGAATAATTGTATCTAGAAAAGCGACAAGAACATAATAAAAACACAAACGCTGATATGGAATATGCGGTATAGTTACATCTTGAAGCAGCTGAAGGATAAGGACAGAAAACTTGAATAATTGCATCCACCTTGACCACAGCTGCCACCGAAAAATGACAACAACAACGGTGACAAACAGATAGAAAAAAAAAAAAAAAGACATGAAAAGATCAATGGACTTTATAGCATGTTATACATTCTTCAGCATGTGGTATGCACATTTCGTATGACCAATATTTAAAATAAAATGGAAAATATAACAATCAGAACTACGGAAACAAAACAACCAAAGACTTACAGTTATTGATAATATAAAGTCTGCGTTCTAGTCTTCACGAACTTCGAATAATTTCACCTTGGAAGTGCGACATGACACAGTATCCCAAAATCAAGAATAAAAACAGAAAGAAAGAAGCAAGAAAGGAAGGAAGGAAGAAAGAAAGAAAGCAAAACTAACAAACCCAAAAACAAACAAAAAACCCCAAAACAAATCAAATGGAACAGATGTATTGATTGTCGTTTCGATAAAACGCTGTTTGAAAACCTGCGTGAACAGACCTTCACATACAATATAGAAAAATAAATTAAATATTCCGAAATTACCAATTTTCTTTGTAATAATGGTACTCTAAATTGGGTAAATGGTAAGAAGGGCATCAGCAGCAGGCTTTACTTCCTTTCTGTTCAACTGAAGCGTCTGCCTGCATATTTGCATTTTTCAAGCACTAAATATACCCATTGTCGAAACCGTATACCCATTGTCAAAACCGCGTTTTACATGTGTCGTTCACCTCTTGTCTCTAGGCTCTAAGCTCGCGGAATTGGTTAAAGTCGTTGTGCGAAACTTCTACCTAGGTTCGTGAGGAATGCTTCAACATTCTGAACTTAATGCAAATGAGACTTTTCTTACTGGGCAGACAAACGGGGTAGTTTATAACATGCCACAGGCATGAGTGATATTTCTTCAACGTAAAACTTATTCTATCATTCTTATTAGTCAGTTGGCTCAAATCGGGCTGTAACAAACATGAAGGGACAAAGCAGCGAGACAAACACGTAGTGCAGATAATGACTAACGACGTGCTCAATGTTGTGATAGCATTAAGGAATAACAAACGCTCATATGTAACTCGGTTGCGTTAGGAAAGAAGTCAACATTTTAATTAATGGGGTAGCTCTTTTTCTTAGGATGGTGGGCAACTCTCTGGCCCTTGTCCCCCCCCCCCCACACCCCCCCTCCCATCCTCCTTCCCCTCCCCCGTTTTTTTAAAATCCACCCCATCCCAACCTTTTTCTTGCTGCTCTTCCTTTCCATTACTAACTCCCTTCTCTGCCCTAGTCCCCCCCTCCCCAATCCACTCTCCCGTTTCTTTTCGATCCTTCTACGGCTGTTTCCTTGCTGCACTTTCTTTCATTGCCCAGTATCTTCTTTGCCACCCCCCCCCCCTTTTTTTCACACCCACGTTTTGTCGACTTCCACCTCCATCTTGGCTTTCATTGGTTTCTGGCCACCGGAGCTTGGGTCAATGATCGACCTGCCTTTTCAATGTCCCCCCACGATTTTAAGTTCGTGGGGAATTTGAACTTTGTGTTCTTGAGACTTCCGAGCGAGGTCGGCGGACCCCTTGGGGTTGTGTTAGACTTGTGTCTGTGGCAACACGGCACTCTGAATATCACACTGGCCTCAGAAAGCATTGTCTTAACAGTTTTTTTAGCTTTTCATGGGGCCCAGTTTGTGGTTGTCAGAACAACACACAACGGTGCACTGCTTTTACGTCATTGTGGTGTTTGGTCGCAGTTTTGCGTCACTTTGGTCTTTGGTCAAAGTAAAAATCAAAAGTGTCCGGCACCCGGAAACCCGTTATTGTCATGATGTCATCAACGTTCCCTGAAATAAGGGAAACGTTCAGAATCTTTGAAACACATTTTGCTAAATGGCGCGGGTAGTCGTAAATCAAAAATGTCTGTTCTTATCTGAATAAGATTGTTTACAAATTATGCCTTGACGTATTTTACAGAAAAGAAAGGCACCTGTGCTTTACATATGGGGACTTATGAAATGTAACGTTTTGAATAACGGCTATCTGCGTCTTAACAAAACGAGCGAACTCTAGTATTGTGAACAGAAGACCCGCGTATCTGCTTTTGTAGCCTTCCTCTTGACTGTTTTCAAATGACCACCTAAGTGTGTCGGATGTAGCAGCTACACGTCAGCTCTGATGGCGTTACTGTGGCCGCTGTGGGAGGAGCCGTTAGAAGTGACGGACTTTGAGGAAGAGCTGTAGACTTTTCCGTTGGCCACCCTGGTGGAGGGCGGAGGTCCGGCGGTGCCTGTGCTGTTCTCGCTGAGAGGCATGGCCGAGGTCCAGGTGTCCCGCCGGCTCAGGCGCTTGTAGAAGACTGAGACAAACGTCTTGCGGAACTTTCGACTGATGGCGCAGTAGAGCAAGAAGTTGATGCTGGAGTTGACCATGACCAGCACGGTGTTAACGTGCTTCAGGGCGATGTACACGGGCTGTCCGAACACCCAGCGGCGGCCCTTTGACGCGATCGTCAGCGCCAAGACGACGCCGACGGAGTGGCAGGCTATGAAGACGAGGACTGTGGCCACCACGATAGCACTCACGTGAAGCATGTCCACTGAGGTCATGTTGGTGGAGGCGGAGGCTTTGTGACGCAACATACGGCGGCGGTGAGTCGCCAAAAAGAAGATGAGAAAGGAGTTGGCGACAATGAGCAGGAACACGGGTATGATGGCCGCCAGAGCGATGTTGGCGATGTGGACGTATGTCTCGTAGGCCGGGGTGTGAACCAGGTGAGTCGTTAGCAGGATGTTTGGGGCCGACAGGTCTGGGTTGGGTACGTACTCGAAGAACTTGGAAAAGTGAAAGATGAAGGAGAAGAGAAATATGCCGATGATGGCCACACGGGCACGCGGGATGGTGCACACGAGGCGTGGGTGGAACATGAAGCGCAGCGAGATAAAGCGTTCTGTGGTCACTGCTACTGTGAGCCAACCCGTGCAGGTGATAAACACGTTGCTCATCACATACCTGAGGAAGATAAAGGAACAGAGGTTGACGTAACAAGTTAAGACATACTGTGGATTAATGGCTGTGGTGATATCATGGTATACACCTTTGTGCGCACATAGCGTGTGAAAGATATAGGATAAGTATCTGCGTAAAAATATGGTAGGGGCAAAATAGTGGGCGTAATGGTGTTCGTTTTTAAAGTGTAATTGCAAGGACAGGCGAAGGAGGATGAATAATTTTTCTTAAAGAATAAAGGGACGATTTAGAACAAATGAGCGGCGACTATCATTTGGATGCCACTTCATTTTCAAAGAGAGAGATGACGTGTGTAAGCTCGGAATAGGGACAGGCAAGAGGAGAAGACTGAGAGACAAGTGTTATGGAAAGAAAGAATGGTTGGCAGTAGAATGGAGAAGAAGGGGAAAAGGAATAACAAATGAAAGAAGAAAGAAAAATTGAAATCCGAACACATAACATATAATCTAGACAAGATAAAAATTGAGCGTAGAGTAGAAGGTAGAGAATAAAGGTGTTTGAGAAGAAGCTGATAAATAGACAGACAGACACTCAGATACACAGACACACAGACAGACTTGCGAAACATGTGTGACAAATAAGCGTGATGAAATAAAGTTTCATTTTTACATATTTATCACACCTTATTTTCTTAAATTATTGACTCTATTTCTCCTTCCTTGACCACCCCCCCCGGTCATTCTTTGAATTCTAAATTATTAATACGTCAAAAGAGTTCCAAAAAGGGGGGTCATATTTCACTTTACCATCTTCATCTTTTAAAATAGGTCATTTAGGTTCTTAAACCTGCTTGTTGCAGTTTGAGTGCCAGTTCCGTAGGTGCGAGCGGACAGCAGGAGATCTTCAGAGGAAGAACCCCCATAAAGCAAGTGTTTCGGCCCTAATTTCCTGACACTCTACGGGGACCGGGACACACTCAGGTCACGACTCCTGAGTACTCTCCTGCTGTTTCTGTTTGTTTGTTTTCTGTTTTCTTTTTAAAATATAAAAAAAAGCAACCCCCCCCCCCCCCGAAAAAAACACACAAAAAACAATCCCAATCAAACAATTAAGTTTGTACTAGACACTGTCACCTAAGAAAGAACGAGGTGTTGACGATAGGAACTGGATACTTCAAATATCAGTCTTTATTTCCACTTTTTCAATCTCGATGGTCTATAACTTTCGAAGAATGGTTGGAGTCAGCGGTTTTTTTTTATAAACTCTTTTTATTTTATAGAAAATGCTTTGGGGTTTACAATCTTGAAGAAAGCATACACAAATGAATTATTCTCGACACGGGAACACATGCCGAAGAAGAGTCAATTTAGCATCTTGAGTAAACTTTTTGTCATAGTCATAGTAATATTATTGCTGAGTTTAGTTTATTTTAGCGTTTTGCAACTTTATCAGAATCTTGCGTACAGCGACATAAACTCGTTAATAATAAAACTCCCCGAGGTCGCGTCTCGGCTCAGATAACGTAGAATTAAGATATATGCCATCATGATTTGATGCATGTAAATTGTATACACTGCTGTGCCGCAATTTAGCATCATCGTATTTTCAGATTGAACAGTGCCAGTGTGTATACAACTGCAGCATATAATAATTTGTTTGTTTGTTTGTGTATGTGTGTGTGTGTGTTTGTGTGTGTGTATGTGTGTGTGTGTGTGTGTGTGTGTGTGTGTGTGTGTGTGTGTGTGTGTGTGTGTCTAGGTAGGCAAGTAGATGTCCGTTCTCTTGAAGTAGATTTTGTGCTGGTGAAGCTAGAGAGGTGAGCAGAGTAAGTCTGATTCCCTGTGAAGACTTCTCTGTTAACATCCACCCCTTGGCGCTCATATGACCTTATGCAGTTGCGAGCGCCGTAAAACCTCTACTAAAACTACAAACACATGCTCATGTACAGCATCTCACCTTATGACTGCGTAGTATCTGATGAACCGCTTAAAGGACATGCTGCTCTTGATGTCACTGTTGAGGCCGAAAAAGGTAGGCACCTGCATGACAAGCAGCAGCAGATCGGAGACGGCCATGGCGGTGAGGAAGCAGGTGGTGGCAGCTGCCATCTCCCGCCGCGTCAGCACGCACAGACTCAGTCCATTGCCCAGGATGCCGAGGCAGCAGACGATAGGCATGAGGACGTGCTCGCAGACAAAGATGGTGTTGAGGACGTACTCAGGCGGTCCGGCGGGGCGCCCTGGGGGCATGGCTGCAGCTGCTGTGGTGGTCAAAAAGAGGTCCGTGGTGTGGTTTGTGGAGCCCATCCCTGGCACACCGCCGCCTGTTGAACCGTTGCTGCTATCCGTGAGGAGTGCGGCGTGGGTCTTAGCCAAAACTTCTGTTATGTTCACCATTTTTATCTACGTTGGCGTCTTTTGTGTGCTGTAGTTGGTGGTTGTGGAAGCGGTGATGTCTTTTTAGCGAGTCATTTAATCCGAGTAGTGGTGTCGTAGTCCTTCGGTTGTCGTTCTACACGTAACTGTAATACATAAACTTAATAGCATGCTATCAGTTTATACTATGGTTAGCTCAAAATTAAATGTCTGCAGGCTGTGAAAGCTCACGAATGATCCTTCTCCGCTTGGTAGGGTGATTCTGTCCGTAATCACTAATTGGTGGCTTCGTGTTAAGAGAAAGAGAAAGTGTCCAAACGTATAAGCAACTGTGTATACACTCCGAAAGTCAATTCACTTTTTTCGTCCCCCGCGCTCGCTCCTCGAGTTATTTCACTTTACCGTAGTAACCGATTGCCTCCCCTGGGACACTTGTCTCCCTTCTTAAAGGGGGCGCACTGGGGGCGGGGCTGGACGCTGATTGGCTGCCGTATGCGGGATCTGAAACCCCTTTTGCTTCCTTCCTGCCTCTCAAGTCTCAAGATACCGTGTTAAATACAGAAAACAGCTGATCCGGGCTCCCACAGTCACTCAGTTTAGTCGGGCGGGGTTTTTTGTCTGTTGCAACCCGAATGAGAAGAAACCAGAGATTTTATAAGATATAACGTTTCTTTTCACTAGAAACTGTTTATGGTGTACAAATTTACAGGTAGACTAACTTGTTTATGTGTTTAAATTATCGGTGGTTGCTAGCAACTAGGCAAAACGAGGCGGAAAGGGGGGGGGGAGCACTTGAATTAATTTTAAGGCAAGACGCTCCGTGCTGTGCCTCTCATGAACGCCTGCCGCCTGTTTTGTCTCATTACTCTTATCGTCAACCTCCTACTTGTGTGTCGGTTATTGGGAATAGTAAGAGGGTCCTTGAAATTATTGCTTTGCTTTGCTTTCCAATGTCCTATCGGGCAGGGGGGGGGGGGACGTTGTCACTGACTAGTCCCACTTCTTTGCTCTCTCTCTCTCTCTCTCTCTCTCTCTCTCTCTCTCTCTCTCTCTCTCTTTGATGTTTCTGTTTGTCTGTCTGATTATTTCCCAGTGCTAAATGACAATTATTGTGTTGATGTGTTTCTCTATGCACAAAAACAAACAAAGCACTTGTCTTTATTGTCTGGTTTGACAATGATGTAATGCTGATGGTTAAAGGGCGTAAACAGACGACACCACTTCATTCCTTTCATTCTGTCGTTTCTGTCTGTTTCTTTTGCTTTTTTCCCCAAGCATCAAATGGCTGTTATTATATCGATATTCTTCTCTTTACTCTAGCAAACAAACAGAGAAATTAACGGTCGGCTTTATTTTGTTGAAAAATGTGTATGTACGTTCATTATGATGCGTAACAAACGAAAAAGGAGACCTACACAAAAACAAAAGCTGTTGACGGATTGTAGGACGTCATGTTGACTCAGTGCTAGAAGCTATTTTCTATTCGCATATTCCAGGGAAAAGACTCGATGATGTCAGGCTTTACTGCAGCTTGGGTAAAACCGGAGTATTATATGCTGGATTAACCCTTCCATGTAACATTTCATCTTCCATTCATTTACAAATGCAAAGAAAGAAAGTTACTCAATAACGAAAAAGAGCGGGGTCAACTTTTGAAGAAAAACAAATTACAGCAAGGAATGAAAAGCGGGTTTGGGGGAGGGAATGGAGGGGGGGGGGGGCTCTAAAAGTGCACGAAGTAATAACGTGTCGTCGTAAGGTGAAAGACCAAGTGTTGCTGTTATGTGACAGCTACGATTTGTGTGTTTGTGTGTGTGTGTGTGTGTGTGTGTGTGTGTGTGTGTGTGTGTGTGTGTGTGTGTGTGTGTGTGTGTGTGTGTGTGTGATTACCTGAATATTCATGTAGACCTTCAGTCTTTTTTCCCATAAAAAATCTCGTGTTTTTGTCTTTTCTGTGTATGTTGTCCTCTAGCAGTAACGCCTGTAATCTTCAACTCTTACATGACCAACTTGTCTTGCAAGTGTCGTAAAACTCTTACTGAAACTAAACTCAGGCCTGCAGTTGGTGACACAAACTGTAGACCCTCTGATGCAACCGTTACATCTGGAGCCCTGTGTCGACCTAAACTTTGATCATCCCGAGAAGGTAGTTGGCGGGTGCTCTGGTGTGGTTTGCTCCTTCTTTCCTATAAATATCGTCTTTATTTATCCTTCTTGTTTTTTATGAATGTTACTGTCTTGTAACACATCATCGGCACTTATGTAACCTGATTGTGTTGCAAGTACCGTAAAACGCATACTAAACTAAGTCTATCCCGTGTATAAATTGTCCAGTGGGATGTTCTTAGATATTGACTCTCTGTTATCGAAGTAATAATAATAATAATAATAACAATAATATATAACATTTATATAGCGCATTTCCAAAAAAGTAGCTCAATGCGCTTTACATTGGAATACCCATTGGAAGTAGGTCACCGCCTGTGTCTGTTGCCTTCCTATCCAGCCGTTTTCCCTTTGACTATCTCATGTTTTGTGGGTCGGGCCTCAGTCTCGGTCCGACGTTGTTTCCTTGGAAAAGGCACTTTACTCGAATTTCCCACTTGGCTCCGTCCTTTGGGAGATGGACGTTAAAGTCGGAGGTCCCACGTCTTAGATATACCACTAACAGTGTTGACAGGGGCGATAAATCTATACCATTTCATTTTTTCATTTCTCATGTTTTGTGACTTTACACTGACCTGTTTGACGTAGTGGTGTTCGTGGCCGGTTTGGGGGGGGTGAACTGGTGTGGTTTGTCGTCTATCGTCCATTTCTCCGTCTTCTTCACTTTGTATACAACTCTCTAGTAACACCTTGAATTTTTGGCGCTCTCATGACTTATTTGTGTTGCAAGTGCCTTACAACTCTTATTTAAACTAAAACCTAAACTGACATACAAACAAGCATATACCCGGGGTCAACTTTTTATCGTCAAGATATTTTGCTGTCCCCTACGTTTATAGTGTGAGCTTGTTTAGTGTGATTGCCATTATTCCCTGTTGTTAGTAAACAATAATCTTCTTGTTTTCTGTGTGGTTGTCCTTTTCAGCATGTTTTGCCCGTCCCTTTATATTTCTGCTCATCTTTCTTTTCGCTTTACCTTTTCTGTTCTCCTGTGTCATCCCCCCTCTCTCCCTCCCCCCTGCGCCCCATTTCTCCCCCCCCCCCCCTCTCTCTCTCTCTCTATCTTTCTTTCTCTCGCTTCTCCCTTTTCTCTCTCTCTTTCGTTTCTCTCTCTCTCTCTCTTTCTCTCTCTCTCTTTCTCTCTCACACTCTCTCTCTATCTCTCTTTCTCTCGCTTCTCCCTTTTCTCTCTCTTTTTCGTTTCTCTCTCTCTCTCTCTCTCTTTCTCTCTCTCTCTTTCTCTCTCACACTCTCTCTCCCTATGAGCATTTGTAGTGTAATGGCCAGGCTCTTTTGTGTCGTGGTGCTCAGAATGCATGAGTTCGATTACCAAGTGTAGAAACTGTTCCATTTTACCTCTGTCTGTTTCGCTGGAATGCTCTATTGAGCTCAGCCAGGGTTGGCCTTAATAGGCATCAGTGAAGCAGTCCATCCTTTAAATGACGTCAGTAGATTGTGTGTGGGCGTAAAACCTTAATGATCTATCTCTCATGTTATTCCTCTCTCTGTCTCTCTCTCGCCCTCTCTCTCGGTCTCTCTCCCCCTCTCCCTCGGTCTCTCTCCCCCCTCTCTCTCTCTCGCTCTCTCTGTTTGTCTGTCTGTGTGTCTGTCTTTCTGTCTGTCTGTCTGTCTCTGTCTCTGTCTGTCTGTCTGTCTGTCTGTCTGTCTGTCTGTCTGTCTGTCTGTCTCTCCCCACAAGAGCACCCGTCAACCATCCACGATGTGGTTCCCCTTACCCAAACTGCGTTTTTCCTGCTAACATACGGGCGAGCACTTACTGCCACCCGCGCAGATATAATGCGTTCCAGATTTCATTTGACTAGCGTTAAGTGTGTGTCCATTCTTTCGTCTGACGTAGTTTTGACGTAGTTGTCTTCCCAGATCGCTCCCAATGTCTCCTGTGCTCTTCTTGGGAGTCAAAATGAAAGAACGCCTCTCACATTTTAGGGGGAACGGATGAAAGAAATGTTGCTGATGACAATGGTGAGGATGGGGAAAAGGAGGAGAAGGAACTGGAGGAGAAGGATGAAAAAAGAAGTAGAACAGGAGTGGTTTTTAAAAAGAATAAGTGAAGGACGAGAAAAGCTAATCTATGGTACTGTCCAAAAAATAGGGGGAAAACACCAAAACGACTGGAACCAATGAGTTGAAGCAACCTTGAACTCCAAAAAGAAGAGAAAAATCCCCCTAAACAAAGTGACAGAACTTGGGGGAATTAAGTGAGAGAAGAGCGGTGGTATGGGGAATCCAATGCCTAAAACTATACCAGCTAGCTCATTAGATCTGTTTTCCTGCGTTTCGGGAAGTGATATTATGGAAAGAGCGGCAAACCTGCGGCGACAGGCTGCCAGTTCTTTCATCGCACCCGTTTACATTCACTATCTAGCCATCTGCACGCAGCCACTTGATTGAAAAGACCTGCCACGACTCCCGAGTTCCACCCTACTCCATTCCCGCTTCTCAACATGTTGTTCTCCCCCCCCCCCCCCCTACCTGTAACTGTTGATGTTGTACACCCCCACCCACCTGTAACTGTTGATGTTGTACACCCCCACCTACCTGTAACTTTCTCTCTCTGTCTCTCTCTCTTACTATCTATCTATCTTTATGATAAATTATCGCTCTCCTTCTCTTTCTCTCCCCCCCCCCTTCCCTCCCCCTTTCTTGTCTTGGCTCCCGTAGTCTCTGTTGTTTTTGGTTGGTTTTTATTTTTCCACTGGTCTCTTGTTCTCCATCTCTCTCTCTGTCAGTTTCTCTTTTTTTCTGTCTCTTTACCTTCCCGTCTCTTTCTCTCCCTCTCTTTCATGTGTCAGTCTGTACGTCTGTCGGTTTGTCTGTCTCTGTTTCTGTCTCTGTCTCTATATATCTCTGTCTTTATATATCTCTGTCTGTCTGTCTTTCTGTCTTTCTGTCTGTCTGTCTGTGTCATCCTCTTTCTTTCTCACATGCTCTCTGTTTGCTCCCCCC